TCTTCCACAAGGTTCTGGAGAACTTCTTCCACAAGGTTCTGGAGAACTTCTTCCACAAGGTTCTGGAGAACTTCTTCCACAAGGTTCTGGAGAACTTCCACAACGTTCTGGAGAACTTCTTCCACAATGTTCTGGAGAACTTCCACAACATTTGGGAGAACTTCTTCCACAATGTTCTGGAGAACTTCCACAACATTCTGGAGAACTTCCACAACGTTCTGGAGAACTTCTTCCACAACGTTCTGGAGAACTTCCACAACGTTCTGGAGAACTTCCACAACGTTCTGGAGAACTTCTTCCACAATGTTCTGGAGAACCAGCCAAGGTTTGATTTAATGGGGGAGATTTCCCTAGTCTTGTGACGGAGAATTAAATTAAAACTAGAGTGAATCAGGTTCAAGCTGATGCTAAGTAAGGTTGGACCCATCGTTCCTCCTCTGCTCGCCCAACTTGCCATGTTCTTGCAAAGAGATGGATGCCTTCAGCTGTTTCCCCAGGCTCTTTTATTGGGCAGGTGCACCCATGAAAATAATATTCCTCCCCCCCTTTCCCAAATCTATGTCTTCTTTAGTACCTAGAGCACGTCTGGTTGACGAGGTCCTGCCGGCGAGACTCGTAGGCTCCCTGAAGTAATTTGTTCTTGTAGGTCTCGGACAACATCTGTTCCATGGCCGCTGGGAGAGGGAAATTGGGGAAAAAGAAGGACCAAACAATTTTTTCCTCGTAAGAAATAATGTAGTGAGTCACAGGGCAGTCGACGACGACAAGTTCAAGCTTGTTGGTTGAGTACTAAACAAATGATGAGTACCGGGACCAAGTTTTTGAATTGAAATGCGAGTACCAAATTCGATGAGTTTCAAAGCAGTTGAGTACCAAGGTAGCAGTGTACTTACCGGCTACTTCTTTCCTCCTCAATTGTTCCGTTTCTTCTTGAGTGATGGCCATCAACTGCTCCATCCGGATCCTAGAAACGATACAAGAGAGTCGGGTGGAGTGTAATGGGTCTCCTCAACTTTTCTCAAGAGTTCGGGGCTCCACCATTTTTCTCCCTCGCCGCACTGCGAGGTTCAGTTGGGCTACAATTCTGAGTCCCCCCCCCCCAATCTTCCGATCCTCCTGCCCTCCAATCTCACTGGTGTTGGTGTCTCTCTGTCTCATGGAAAACTTTGTGTTTTCCTGTTGGTCCTGTCAAAAACCCCTTTTTTGGACATGACAGTGAATTCCTTTCATTCACAGTCCGCAAAGCTTGGCAAACAGTCTTTCAGAGGAATGTTTATCAACACGAACCTTATCTCGCTTGGAGAGCTGCCAGATAACTAGTTTCCAAATGCAGGGCAAGNATGATGGGGGAACTGGACTTCCAGTCGGCTCCAGAATTGAATGAGGGGCTTTTGTTTAGGACCTTTGTGGCTCTTTGAATGCTTTAAGGTTGCCGACCCCTAACCTACACAAATGCCAAGACAAACAGGCCTTCCTCATGTAATCTATCCCATCCTTTTATATATTCCTCATCTAATGTATTCCATTCTTTTATAGTACATACTTTGTATGGATGTGGCAAACTCATATTTGTGCAACTTGTCTCTGTTTAATTTCAGAGGTGTCATATGCTCCGTTGCATTGCTTATGGCACAAAACCCACAAGTGAACTGGCCTGTGTCTAGCTAAGAGGTAAAGATCAGAACTGTGAGCCATTCATGTAAAGCTATATTGTATCTGAATCTTCATATGTCACTTCTGTCTCTTTGACTTTCCCTTTTGGCACCTTCATTAAAACTAATGTCCTACTGCAAAGGTCACCAACCTTTTAGACACCAGGGACCAGTTTTGTGGAAGATAATTTTTCTACGGACTGAGACAGGGGGAGGGATAGGAGTACACAGCGTAGATCTCTTGCCTGTGCAGTTTACAGTAGGGTTCAGACTCCTATGAGAATTGATGCCTGATGATCTGAAGTAGAGCTGAGGCAGTGATGCTAATACTGGCGAGCAGCTGCAAATACAGATGAAGCTTAGCTTGTTCACCCACTGCTTACTTACAGCTATGCAGTCCTGTTCCTAACAGGGCAAAGACCGGTACTGGTCCGTGGCCCAGGGATTGAGGATCCCTGTTCTACTGAGTTCAGAAGCACATTCATTTATGTTTAACCAGGGCATTTTGGTGAAAAAGAGTTTTCAGGAAAACTCATGGGAGTCAAAGCAGCAAACAAGGGTAACCCTAAATTAATTGAAAATGCAATTCAAATATTCATAAAACCTAATTAAAGGAATGAAAATATGAACAACATCCTCCAAAAAGCTGATTATAAAGTCAAGTCTCCAAGCTGAGCTTGATTCCTGGGGCCTTGGTGACATGTCCATGTAGTTTTTTGGGGTGCAGTATAAAAACGGCTTTCCTTTGCCTTTTTTCCAGAATGTAGACTACAATCCTGGGATTCCTTGAGTGTCTCATATCTATAGTGACCACACATTCCTTATTATAAAAGATGGTGCTTTATTTGCAAAAGCTGTCCTTTAGAGTTATTTATTTATTTGGTTTCACTCTTAAATTATGTGTGTGTGTGCACGCATGCGTAAGCATATGCATATTTATATGCATATGAGTCTGCATACGCATGTCTGTCTGTCTATCTGTCTGTCTGTCTGTCTTATGAATCTCTTCCAGATTTTCTCCTTTTCCACGTCTATTTTTTCCAAGAAAACATGGCCACTATATTCTAATGCTAAGAAGGCCCAATAACTCCCCAGACCAGTGATGGGATTCAAATTTTTTTGCTACCGGTTCTGTGGGCATGGCTTTGGGGAAGAATACTGCAAAATCCCCATTTCCTCCCCAGTCTCAAAATTTCTGCTACCGGTTCTCCAGAACCTGTCAGAACTGGCTGAATACCACCTCTGCCCCAGACCACATAAAATGGGCAAGGTGCTGCTAATTTCTGAGATTAACACAGATTATCATCTATAAATTATAATAAGGTGGCAGGCTGAACCAAAGTAGGCCTCAAGCCTGAACCAAACTAGGGTTTCGTGATATTAAGCTTTAACTGTTCACATAGAAATTGAAAGGTTTGCTTTTAGGACATAGTGCGGTTAGATACGGGTTAGAAGGAAGTCTGCATATGAAATATGCTGAAGTAAAGCATCTATTTTAGCCCATCTGCTGGCTTGGCTGTTAATCTGTTTGGTAGACACATATTGTTAGTTCCTCAAAATATGAGCTATGTATGTCCGTTGGCTGACCTATGTACCTATAGACATAATATTGCTGTAACTCAAGGGCAAATCTTGAGGGGTGTTTCCAAAGCTGACAGATGGCTTTAGCTGAAG